GGAAGAAACCATTTTTTTTCCCATGCCGGCACCCTTCTATCCCGCCTAGCTGCTCACCTCCTCCTCGCTTCGGGTCGCGGTGGCAAGCAACGGCGCTTTGCTTCATACCGTGGAGCGGAGGTCCGAAAGAAAGATGAGTCGCAGGAGACCGCAAAATTTGACTCACTTCACTGGCACGGATTGCGCGGGAACTTCAAATTTGGCAGTTGGAAATTGTTTTTTTTAATTCAGAAATACTGAATTCCCAAGTTTTGAATTTTGAGGGTAATGTCCCGGCATCGTTTTCAATCGTTTCGGATAATAATAAAAAAATATGATTTTGATGTGTCAGTGCCCCTTTAAGTGCCTTGATGGGGTTCATATTTACAGAATAAACTTTCCCTTGGAGAAAGAAGATTTCTAACTGCATTTTTATGTTACAAGATGCATTTTGAGTTAGGACCGATTCCGAAACTGACTTATTTCAAGGTGTCGACCTCGAAATAGGAGGTAGTTTCAGAATCGCTCCTTTAGTAATTCTAATGGTTATTATTATTTTTATTTTATCTTTTTAATAACCAGTTTTGGCTCGAAGAATGGTGCTACCTGGGTATGGGTGGCATAGCATGTTCAGCACTGACTGCACAGTTGGGAAACAACCAGAGGCAATAGGTATAGAGAAAAAAATATATATATATTTAAAGTTTTTATTTAGCTTTATAGTCTTCACAAATTGCCATAATTCTTTAGGATTCATTTTTAGCTTTAAATCCAAGTCCTCATAACATCTGGGCTGGCTTGCTAGACACATTGTCTTAGCTAAGGCTGTGTGAAAGAAAGCCTGGCAAGCCTGGGGCACACAAGCACTTGTGACTAGACTTTGCATGCAACTCTGCTCTTGTGCTAGCTTTAGCAGTGTTTTCTTTCTCACAGTCTTAGCTAAGACTGCAAAGGCTTTGTTTCTAGCAAGCCGGCACTGGTTTGGGAATTTTTTTACTCTAGTCTTCATTGCTATAAATAAAATGAGCAACCTGGATTGCAAAGCAAGCTCTCGCGAGTAATAGAATAAAGCTAATCCTGCCCTTAGTTCTTGAAGGGACGGTGGCAGTGGTGAATGAAGCTCAGCGACCCCAACCTGGGGCAGATAAGGAAATGCAATTTTTGGTAGTTGGGGATTGCATTTGCGCTATTTATCCCCGAGCTTTGTTTGCCGCTGCCTCCCTCCCTCCAAGAACTAAGGGCAGTATTCTTTTGATTGTTATATTCAAGTTATACTACTCTTTGTTTTCATTTCATAACCTGCTTCGTCTCTTCTTTCAGCCAAGGCTTTTTTCTTATTTGCAGAAAAATGTATTTAAGAGGGAGCACATTTGTCAGCAAGGTTGTGAATTCTAAGTTTGAATGTATTTCATTCAAATGTTCTAAAAATTCAAGAACACATAGTTGAACGTTAATGTGGCTTGTCTATCTGGTTTGCAGTCTTAGATACATTACTGCAATAGTGATAGTAGTTTTGTATTCAATTGTGCACTCTATTCATTGCACAAATTGTGTGTACCTATTTGATGGGGTTGCAGGATTGAGCTTCATGTTGAAGCTTTTTCCCCTCTTGCTCTACCATTTCTTTTGAAGGAATATTAAACATTATATTATTGGGTCATTTTCCTGAAAATTAAACATTCGAGTGATTGTCAAGTATCTTTTAAACAGCTTCCTCCCATCATTCTTAAAATATAGGGTGTCCTAAAAACAAATATTTGCAAGTTCTCATAATTAAGACTATTTTAGAAAGAAAAAAAAGTTTATATTACATCCTGTGTAATTTCTGCATTTGTTTTGCATCTGCTAAATACCACACAAGTTTCAAAGGCGTGAACTTTTATTTTAGCAAAGTAAACTTTGGTAAGTTTGATTTAAAAAATCATACAACTCTGTCAGCTCCAATTTATGATATGATCTCAGCATTCAGTGTTGCTAAAGTATTCATATTTTTACAAATGTTTAAAAGAAACAAGTCTGACCGACCTGAGTTTCAGTGGCATAACGAAAGATATACAAATATATGTAAAAGCTTCTGCCAGCCATGTTTAATTTGTAAGTATGCAGACTGTTTAACATATTTTCAGAGAAGTCTTGCGACAAGAGCCATTCACCCTGGGCCAAAACCTAAAATTTTATTAGCTTATGCATAGATAGAAATAAATGCATACATTTTTACAACGGAGCTGTTAAGGACAAATGTTCAGGTTTCCCCAGTTTCGTGTCTGTGGACAAATAAATCTTGACACAACCCTCTGAACAGCTACCGCCATCTATGAGCGACAGTGGCTACCAGACAACCGGCTTGCCGGTTGTCTGGTTGCCGTTGTCGCTTATACATGGCAGCACATAGTACAGCTCCGCTGCTCTTTTTTCTCCACCAGAGTGGAAAGGCTGAAAGTGTTTTGATGTGCTAGTGGTGTTACAATCTTTTATGTGCTGTTTTTCATAATATCTCGATGAGAAATAACTTGCAATGACAAAACAGACATGCGTTTTTGTGGTGTTAAAAAAATTAAATTTCAACTGCGAGTTTTTTTTTTTTTTTTATAAAAAAAATTAATTTGCTCGAATTGTCAGTCGTGTAACAGTCAGTCATATAATGTGCATTTGTATAACGGTCAGTCGCATAACTATCTGTTGTCGCGGGTAAATTGCAGCATGGGTCAGTTGCATCAACTAAAAAAATGTAAATTTCCCGTTGGTATTTAGTATATAATCATGCTACTTCATGGCCAATTATATGTTTTAATGACAGGCACGAAACGCGAGGTCCAGTACCCTCCATTCCGCCTGCATCACACCGGAAAAAAAAAAATGTTTTGGTACACGGAAAATAATTTTACTGTATACTTTTTGCGCGATAAATTTATTTTTCGGTTTGTGTAAAGATATTGAACTATTCATCAAAAAGTGGGCATGCTCCTCAAATAAATAATATTGTGCTTTAAAATCAGTTTAATTGCTTTTCAAACAGACCAAGTGGCACATTTCAAGAAGTTTTGCAAAAGAAGCAGCCCTCACAAGAATATTTTCTAATCTAGACACAACATTTGAGTCTATACATTGTATGTATGTTATTGCAAATGTTAATACTGCAAAATAAAAACAAAATACATTCTGATAAGCACAAGAAAAAATAAAGCTGTAAAATAGCTATCTCTCTTTTCATCTTGAGTATATGTTCTACAATGTTTGTTGTTAGCAATATAAACATCTGGGGGCTCAGCTGTTTTCTATGAAAATAACAAATGAATTACCTATTGATCAACATAAGATAGTAAACTGATGTCAATGTTGGCAAATTAACTTTTCATGAACCTAAATGTATAATTTTCTGGAAAATGACCCTATTATTAAATAAATGCAAGTTCATTTATTGCCCTACTTCTTTTTAATTATAACTAAACACTTTTTTTTACTTGACACTTCAGTTTGGGCATTGATTTAGCCCTGCTGTTACAGTCTTACGGCAAGAAATACTAGCCAGGACACAAACTTTGTCAATGGTGCCCTATTATGTTACATATAACAACGAATCTATTTCAAAAACTGCCCCCCCCCCCCCCCCCCCCTTTTCATGATATTGTTTTCAAACATTTTGCAGTGGCATTAATCCTAATATGAAGTGAATTTTCTGAGAGGAGAACCTTTTATCCTCCTAAACCAAATGGAGGGATTGAAATCTTCCAATATAGCATACTCTCTAGAGGTTGCAATAGTTGTATCTGTTCCTCTACCTGCACTGCCCTCATTGGGAAATAATAAAAAAACACCCAGTGAAATAGATATCTATAAAACGTGTAGGTTTCTATTTTTTCTAATAGTCCTTTTTCATTTACCCGCTTCCTCAGTCACATAGTTCATATATCAGCTTGTGGGACGAGAAAAAAAGGCATGCATTACAACGTGGAAGAAGTAAAAAAAAATATGGGGGCAAAGCAAGAATGAGCGACCGTCGCATTCGAAATGCAAACACCTTTGAGTGTCATGGCCAAAGAAAAATGTTTAGCCGCATGCTGAAAGTTTAGCTATTCAGGATGACGACGGCCACGCAGAAAATGTATATTGGCATATTTGGTCAGAACCTCTAATGCTATACAACCAGGACTTTGTACCTAGTACAGTTGCAGGCTCAATTGTAAGTAAGCTTAGCAATTTATCAACCTTACTTTTGATACTGCAGCAGTTATAACCATCACTGTTTCAACACCCTGGCTTCTGATGGCCATACTTTTTGTCTTCGTAGTATGGTTTGCCCCGAGGACCAGAATTGCTCTAGAGTGATATGCGGTGTCTTCCTGCATCGTGCAATTTTTTAGGGCAAAAACTGCTTCTGATACAAGTGAAAAAAAAGGCATGATAAGAGAAAATGCAATAACCTTCTATACCGCTGGGTGGGAGTAGATGAAACGGGCACCAACTTGCACAACGGTTTATTATGCATGTACAGCCACAGGCTTGGAGCACTCGGATTCGCACGAGGCCAGTGGAATAATACACATAGATGCAGGCGCTTTTGATACTCAAACATTGAAATCTGTTGAAACAAGATTCAAATTCTTTCTAGCTTTTTTTAAGAAAAAGTTGCCTCTCAGTAGTTTTAAATGAATGAATGCAAAAATGTTCCAAAATCCGGGACTCTTAATTAAAGCAACCTAGGTACACTGCATGGGAGACAAACTGTCCGATTAAATTGTTAATACTGTTATGTTAAGTCAGTGTAGTTTGCTTTATCTTTAAATAAATGAACAAACTTTGGAAAAAAAATACCTCTACATTGTTTCACAACATGGCTTCTGGCAGCTGCCATTTGAAGTGTTGGTGCATTTGGTTCATGCTTCCCTTGCTTGTTGCAGTACCAAGTAGCGCTGCTGAACTGTGTTGATTGCACACTGTTTGCTCATGCACTCCTTGCAAACAGTGGAATGGTCTTGGGCATTAGATACCACAATGTGTGCTTACTTGCAACTTTATTACAGCTACAAGCCAAAGAAAACAGCTTCTGAAGCAAGCAATGACGGGTCCAAGACATGATTGAAGACTAGCGCTCTGGAAAAGTGTGTTGTTTTGGTGTTTTTTTTTTTTATAACCATATATTTTTACACTAATAAAAGGCTTTAACACCGTTCATGATATTTGTTTATAAATACACAGTCTTCTAGAAATACCGTTGTGTGTGTGTATTTTTTTTTTTTTTGTCTTTATGGGAGGTGATCTACTGTGCACTTTTCACTTTGCAAGAAGTTTGTTTTGTCTGTGACTTCCCAAAAACATTTTTTTGTAAACGAAAAAAAAAAAATAGTTTAAACACACTTCTCATGTGACGTCGAGAGCTCTCGCAGCCCTAAACCATATGCGAAACTGCTTCGTGGTCTGGCAGCGCTGTGCACGCGGCCATCTTGGTAGTCAAGGATCTGGAGTTTCGGTTTCTCAGCATTTCCAGAACGTGGGCGCTCTGCCAGTAAGTGCGATACGGAAACTTCATTGTTTTCTTACTTCTGATCGCCCAACATGGACAAAGGACTCGGCCATCATGCCTTTCATCTCTGAGGACTTTTTTAATGCTTTTATCGATGCGAATACGCATGAAGTCAAGCTGTTTAGCAGTAAACTGCTCCGCTAGTTTTTTTTCTTTTTTTTTTCTTTTTTTTTTTTTAATTGTTACTGGCAAACGTTTTTTGTGTGTGTGCCTGTGTGTGTGTGGAAAGCTCTGTGTTCCTCTAAAGGAAATTATACCCTGGGCAATTTTTCTGGCGTTGCTAAGAGCTCAAATTGGTTTCAGATAGCATCGACCTCAAGCACAGTTGACGGATGTTGCGCTAGTAATGAAGGTTTGTTCAACCCTGGCAGAATAACTGCATTATTTTCTTAAAAACTACCCTCCCCCCCCCCCCCCCCCCCCCCCCCCCCCCCGAACTTCTTCGCATTAAACTTTTTTTTTTTTTACCTCGGCTGCGAGAAAAAAAAGAAAAGGAGATTGTGAGATGAAGTTAGCACCGCTCGTCTCCACTCGCCGTCCGCAACGCAAGTTTCCGCCGCCGCCGACATTGTTTTGTCGAAGTGGCGTTCGACAGTGTTGCCAGATGGTCCCAACAAAAAACCGCCAAACGGCTGGGAGGTATAGCCCAAATATAGCCAAATCTATAAAAGAAATATAGCCCAAAATAGCCAAGACTAAAAACAACGATTTTTAAGCCTTTTATTGACAATTTTTCATACGCGCAAAAAACAACACGTTAAATTCTCTTTTTCAACGCTCAAATGCGCCACTTTTTGTGTACATTAGGTCCCCTGATATATATATATATATATAAACAAAAAGCTTAAGAAGGATGAAAAGTTTAGAAAACATACGTGGATATTGTGAAGCCCGTTAGATACAATCATACAGTAAAAGAACAGAATGTAGAAGCAGAACAGTCAGAACTGGGAGTTTCAAACTAGCACCCCCTATATCTAAGGTATAGGGGGTGCTATACCTTAGACAATAACCCACCCGTCTATTTTTCTTTGTGTAGAATATGAGCGTCCCCCGTTCCGGTTCAAGCTATTTTTGATTGTGTTCCTTTTCTTAAAGTTGGCGATGCCTAAGAATTTTCGCAATGGGCACCAAAGCTGCGTTTGGAGAGTCCAGTCTACGTCCGGGTAGAAGACGCGCTACCGGACCTGTAAAAACAGTGCAATTTGTTCGTTTGATTTGCTTCACTGCGCTGTGGGGAGACCGCTTGAACTCTGCTAGCACTGCATCTCTCTGCATTGTGAAAACCCCGAAGTTTGTAGAAGTTTGAAGCCATTCTCCTTCCTTTCTCTCCTCTCAACTAGCCAAAAGAGAAACAATGTTTTCTCCGAAACTGACTAGAAGTTCGAAAATTAACTAGTCGAACCTCAAAGTTCGACGTCGAACCTGAGGTTCGACAAGAGTTCGCCGCACCCTTAGAAATAGCCCAAAAATAGCCACATAGCCAAAGGCGAAATTTTGACGCCAACTAGAAAAAAATGAAGCCCAATTTGGCTATATATAGCCCAATCTGGCAACACTGGCGTTCGACAAAAAAGACGGGTCTGTGTGTGTGTTTTTTATTCTACATGACCGCGCTTAAATATTCAAGTATATTATATCAACAAACTCTCCTGTTTATTTTTAGAGACTCAGCTTAACGAGGTTTTACAAACTTATAACGGTACAACGAGGTTTTACAAACCTCCTTTACCGACGCCAGGTCAAGTGTATAGAAATCGCCGCAATGAGATTGTTTTCTATACTTCGTTTCAGCTTCGGTCCAGACGCAGCCGATGCTACAAGCGCGAGCATGTGGCCCAAAACAGTGCTTGCACTGCACGAGCGCGCGTGCTTTGCAGGGATGCTGAAAGCCCGGAGCTCGCGCTTGTAGCTTTGGCTGTGTCTGGACCGAAGCTGAAACGAAGTATAGCTTTCCAAAGTTGTTTTTTTTTTTTTTTTAATATATGACATTAAAATGAGGAATCTGTGGTGCTTTCAGGTTTTTTTCACTGTTAACAATACGCATCTTCAATTATGGTTGGTGGCGTAGATTAATAAAACTGTCATCTTCTGCATGCATCGAGCTGCATGCGCGTCAAGAAAAACGCAGACCGAGACTACAACGTGCATTAAAGAAAAGGAGTTCAGAAACAAATTTGGTACAACTTCATGAAAAGATTAGGTGCCAGTTCAATAGTTATAAATGGCGTCATGCCGCGCGATAACGTCCGTATGTTTCTTCGCGCTGTAACCGATTGTTTTTGTCAAAAGCTGCGTCTCTAGTAACATCTAAAAGATATTGTGAACCCTCTTCACGTTTGCGTTCACATCACGCACGAATAGAAGGTTTGTCCCTGCATCCGCAGCGGAACGCAGCAACGCGTTGGCATCGCATCGCGGTCGCTCGTTACATGGGGTCTTTGCCGGTCGAGTCACTGGTTTCGTTTTCTCGCCGCTACCAAGATGGCGGACGTAGTCCTCGGCGCGCTACTAGATGGCGCTCTACATTTCGTAATCGGAGAACCGAAGGAAGTAATAGGAGAACCGAAGGAAGTAGCAGTCCAGTTTGTGACATCGCGGATTTTGGACAAAGAGAATGGGAAAAGGCGGAACGAAGAGTCCCTAGTGGCACGTCGACAGGCACAGATGGTATCCCTATCAAGCTGGTGAAGAATTTGGGTCCTAAATCTAAGGCAAAACTAAGGGAGGTGGTGAGTACCATGATAACAAAAGGAAATATTCCAGATGAATGGAGGCTTAGTAGGATGAGTATGATATATAAGGGAAAGGGAGATAAGTCTGATATTAGGAATTATCGTCCTATAACCGTGACACCGGTTATTTACAGGTTGGTAATGCAGATTATAAAGAACAGACTGGAGGAATGGGTAGATTGCGAGGGCATACTGGGCGAATTACAGAACGGGTTTCGAAAACAAAGAAGGTTGGAGGACAATTTATTTTCTCTAACACAGTGTATAGAAATAGCGCAAAAAGAAAACAGACAGCTCTGGCTGGCATTTCTGGATATCAAGGGTGCCTATGACAATGTGAACCAAAGAAACCTGTGGGACATAATGGAGAACTTAAACCTAGATGAAGGACTAACAGCACTATTAAGGAACATTTACAAAGATAACAAGGTGATTATAACATGGGAAGGAAAGGCGACAGGGAAAATAGAGATAAGACGAGGCCTTAGGCAGGGGTGCCCGTTATCGCCTTTGCTGTTTATGTTGTATCTGAGAGGATTGGAGGATAGACTAGAGAAGAGTGGGCTTGGGTTCAACCTTTCTTACAGTAAGCTAGGCCAAAAAATTCAGCAATCCTTACCGGGATTGATGTATGCGGATGATATTGTACTAATGGCTAACAACAGGACAGAGTTGCAGGAATTAATGAGCATCTGTGGTAGGGGAGGAGAGGAATTAGGTTTAGAATTCAGTAGCGAAAAATCGGCAGTCATGATTTTTAACGAGGATGAAGTTGAGAGGCTGAAGATACAGAATATTACAGTTGAGAGAGCTAGTAAATACAAGTATCTAGGAGTATGGATATGTGATGGTGCAGAATATCTCAGAGACCATGAAAAGTATAAATAGGTAAGGGCAACAGAAATGCAGCTGTAATGAAAAATAGAGCACTTTGGAATTACAACAGGTATGAGGTGGTGAGAGAGATTTGGAAAGGGGTCATGGTGCCTGGCTTGACTTTTGGAAACGCAGTGCTATGCATGAAATCCGAAGTGCATGCGAGACTAGAAATAAAACAGCGCGGAGTAGGTAGACTGGCTTTGGGGGCACATTGCAAAACGCCAAACCAGGGAGTACAAGGAGACATGGGATGGGCATCATTTGAGAGCAGGGAAGCGGTGAGCAAGGTAGAATTTGAGGATAGGTTGAGGCAAATGGACGGGGAGCAATGGGCACGAAAGGTTTTCAGCTATTTATACATGAGGAGTGTAGACACAAAGTGGAGACAGCGCACTAGGAAATTAAGAGGAAAGTTTTTGGGCTATAGCGAAGATACCGAAGAGCAAGTCTCAGTTAAGAAGAAAGTTAAGGCCACAGAAAGAGATTGGTGGCTAGAGGGAATACAGACAAAGACGGCTCTGGAAAGCTATAGATTAAACAAAAGAGTTATTGCCAAAGAAAGCATTTATGACAATTCTAGGGGAAGCTCATTGCTGTTTGAGGCAAGAACGGGTGTTCTGCGAACCAGAACATACAGAGTGAAGTACCAGGAAATTGATACAGTGTGCACTGCTTGTGGAGAGGAGGACGAGACGGCTGAGCACTTGATACTCTACTGTAAAGGGCTTCACCCTATGCCTACCGAAGACAACATAGATTTAATAAAGTCATTGGGTTTTAGAGACAGCGAAGGGAGAGTGGATTTCAAGACTGTAGAGATTACCAAGCAAAGATTAAGTGAATGGTGGCAGAAATCGAGAGAAAACTAGGTATTTTCTTATCCACTGATGGCAAGGGGGTTTCATAGCCTCACTTTCTTTGCACTGCGGAGTGAATATAAATTTCACATTTAAATATTCTAAGCTTAAGTGGTAAAACAAAATGGCTAGGTGGCGTAAGCTACCGCCCGATCCAAAGGGCTCAGCCGTATTCATC